ATTTACAAATCAACTACTCGGGCAATTGCAGAATCGTTTTCATCCTGAGCTTGTAAGACAAACCTAATATTTAACACTGTATATTTAGATGTGCACTTTGTATTTACACACTTATTTAATCTTCCGGGAACGTTCCTTCTTTAGCTCATATTCCAAGAATATTAAGTGAATACAATTACAGTCAAAAGTCGTTAATCCGGACTCGTAGGCACTTTGGCGATTTTGGATTATCGATTTTTCCGGATTATAGATCATCAGTTTAAATCTGGTAAGATGGCATGCAGAAATTATAAAATTAAAAATATGAAACCATAAATTATGAAATAAAGAACAGTTATGATCTAAAAGGTATCAAAATTTACAAAAAATAGCTTAATATTTAATTGTTTACTTTATTAAACATTTCTTTCAATGCAAGTTGTTTAAGTTGCTTCGTTTTATGTGATAATACTTTCTCTTTAATTCTATAAACAGACATAATTTCTTGTTCAGTTACAAAGTTCCGCTGTTCAAGTCCTATAATTGCTGTGTCGAGAATACCGACTAATACTGAAAATCGAAATTTTTTCGTTTTCAATAACCTCTGTGTCACTTTCTTCACTATCGGAAGCAAATTATAATGACGAAGAATTTGATTTAAATCATATCAAAGACGGAATACATCGAGATGAAATACTACATTTAGTAAGGAATTATAAGCCAAATAAAATGAAAACATCTGCCCTGAAGATAAGGATAGTGCTGACAGATCAACTTCCAATTCATTGCGCGCCACGGCGATTCCCCCCCCCCCGCACCACCACAGAGCGGCATGAAATTGATAAACGGATTTCGGAATGGTTAGGTCATTTTTTGCAGCAATTTCACTTTTGTTTAAAGGACTTTGAAACATACTTTCGCTTTGTAGATGCTTTACATATTAGTAAATATATATCGGAAATTCTATTTGACGTAATCGAAAGTTTAAGCTTACTTTTGTAAAATTGCTCTAACAGTCTGCAAAAAATAATAAGCCGGATCCAATTCGAAGATTAAGGAACAACGCAATCTGCAACATTAACTGCATTAGATAATTTTAGCTTAGCTTATACCGTCTGTTATACATTAAACGCGCATGCGTAAACGTATTTTGTGCATGCGCACACGCATATTCGCAGCCATAAAGGTCTTACGCATATGCGTCAATGCAATGCATGCGCAGAAAGTTTGTAGCTTTGAGGTCCGGATTATGGGTGTCCGAATTAACAACTTTTGACTGTATTGTAAAAGAAATTGAATATTCATTTGCACTACGGCTTGGTAGTTTACTAACAAGTTAACAAAACTTAAATTCTGCTTTTTGTGTCTAAGAATACAACAATATTTTAAATATTTACAAATAAAATATTAAATTGGAGATTTAATTGGAGCCTCACCAGTTGCCTAGCATTTGAAGATCGTTAAATACTAATTGTTTGTTGCGAAGTCTAACCCAGGCTTGCATGGTTGGTTTTCGTAGTTTTTTTAGGTTCTCTTTACAGAGGTTCTCTATGAAAGCATCTCAACCAAATAGCTCCCATGTTCTTTCTATGTTCAAATAACCAACTTAGTTTAAGCACAATTTCTAAGTGAAGTTAACTAGCAAAACTCGAATACTCATTAAAAATCATGTAGCTTGCTAATCGGGAGTAACATGAAAGATACAGCGCCAATAATTGAACTGCTGTTACGGTACGCTGTTTCTAAACTTAAATGGTCATTGCTTAATTAAATATAATTGATTTGTAACTTCTACTAGAGCTGACAGTAAGAAGTGAAGTGCAAACAAATAATATCGTGTGCAATCTTGATTAATATAAAGTTAGAAATATTTGCACTCAGATAAAGTTTTTCAAAATATTTGAAATTATTTTATAAAAAGGATTTAATAACTGTAATAATTACTAATTATATTACTGATGATTAGAATTCAGTTCTTGACAATTACATTCTAAATTAGAATTTTAAGGATATAATGAAAATACGCTACGCATAAAAATACATTTTAGGATAAAAAACGAGTTGATTTTTTATGTTTAAAAACTTCTTAAATTCATTTAATAAACATCGTACCCTCGTTGTTAATTGAATCCAGAATTTGGGCGTCGTTTGTATAATTATTCTTACTTGTCCACAGAACCTGCTGACTTATCCAGTCATTCGTAGCTGCAGATCATTTGTACATAACCATTGAACTTCCATTAATTCGGTCTCTAGAGGGTTGTATGCTTATATCATAATTTGACTTTTATAAAAGTGATTATTCTAAATCTTATGTTTCTATAAAAATATACTGTGCTTTAAAAATATGGATGATAGTATCAGCTGCTCTTTCAGCCACTTCACAAGCAACAGCTTGTTTATAAATAAATTGTGCAGTTAATGTCATAAAATATTTTCATAAAATTCAAATAAGCATCAAACTAAAGTTCTCAGTTTTATACAATTTGATTTAAACGAAGTAAAGTAGCAGACGATAAAACGCCGAAGATAAAAAATTTACTCTTACAAATAAAAAAAAAAAAAAAAAAGGAAAAAGGAAAAAAAGAGAGAAATTAAAAAAATAGTTAAAAATTTGATTAATATCATCTATAATTTTAAAAAAATAGCTTTTCATATAGTATTAATAAATATTTATTACACATCATTGAGGGGAAAAATTTCATATAATTAATTCTCCGTAAAATATGACTTGAAATTTAAGATTAAAAATAGCTGTGGCAATTCACTGAAACAAAAATCCATAAACCACATTTGACGTTATTATCGCTTAAAAAAAGATGCCAAATTTCAAAACGCGAAAATATGCAAATTCGTGTATATCTTAGAAAATTTTGAAAAGTCTAATTTTTTTTGCAGGTATGCTTAGAAATACACCTACTTTAAGATGATGGTAAAAATTTTATAGGTTATAATTCAAATTTTTTTGAAAAATTAATAAAAATTATTTAAAAACAGAAATTTATAAAATAAAACACAAAAAATAGGCAAATTTTATTTGGAATGAACCTAAATTTTGAAATGTGAAAGGAAAATTAAAAAAAGTTTAATAAAAAAAAAAAGAGGGTGAATCTTTACATTATGGTAACTTGGCGATTTTTTGGCGAACAACCCTGCTACAGCAACCTGCTAGTTTTGTTTTGGACGCCATTTTGTTTTCACGAAGTAAAGGCATTTTTTTTTTTAACTCAACATTTTTTTCCAGCAATCTGCTAGCCGAATTACGTTTATACTAGAACTTTTATGGAACATAAATGCTTAATCATGACGAAGATTAGGTGTGAAATTGGGAGAAAGTGCAGAATCGCAAACCGCTTCCCGCGTTTTTAAGAATCGCACATACACGGTATCCATGTACACATCGACCTATTTTCACTTAAAAAAAAAATCCCAGAATTGTACAAAAATGGCATTGCGCACACTCTTGACTTTATCTATGTACACATCGACCTATTTTTACTATCGATCCTATTTTTACTGGAAAAGTCAAAGAAAATTGACAAAAATCTAATTCTTCTTACTCTTGTAAAAAGTGCCGAACAAATAAGTGGGCGATTCTGCACTTTAGCAGCGAAATTGTTTCTAAGTGCTTATTAGCTACAATCACGATCGGAATTTTCCGGAAAATGTCACATTACATGTCTCATGATCTCTTATTTCTCTAAGACAAAATAATCTGGGATTCGAACTGTGTACTTCTCAGATTATTGCTAAAGTCCTAGGTAGTAATTTTTATCGCCTTACCAAAATGTCGCCAAACTACCTGTTACCATATTCTAAAGATTAGCCAAAAAGGGATATTAAAAAATATTTGCCAAATTCAATTAACATTGAGGAGCTAAAATTTTGAGAGCTAATATTTTAAAAACTACTTGTACAATTTTTACAAAACTTGGTATTCTGGCATAATTCGAGTTATAGAATCGAAAAATGGAAAAAAAATTGGTATGTTATTTCAGAAAAAGTCCGATTTTGTGTCAAAATACCTATGTTAGAAAAATGCTATATATAAATCTAATATATATCCTATGTTGCACTTTCGAGACATGAAAAACGCTAAGACAGAGATTCTTTAAAAATAAATATTTATTTCTAACAATTAAACAGGCTACTCATACCATACTATTACTTATTTAACTCTTAAGCTAGTAAGCAAATTAAGTAAGACAAAGAGAAATAGTAACGGGAGGGAAACAGTTTTGTTCAAATGATTGAAATGGCAGAGCAAAAGAAAAATAAATCATTCTTTAATATTAATATTCAATAATATTAATTTAGCAAGGTAAAAATGACACTTTATTAAAAATAATACCTAACAGTTATAATGATAAGGATCCCAAGATTGGTTAAATTTCAAACAAATTGAGAAAATGAAATTTTTCAAATACAGAAAGAAAAGTCTACAGTACATCTAATGCATATGTTATAAAAATGGACACCTGCTTTTCAAAACAACAATCTCTTTCAGAAAATCAAAGCATGTTTAATGATTGTAAAAACGTAGAGCATGATGAGTTAGTTATACGAGCGGGAAAATCACAAATCAAATTAATATAAAATGAGGATATAGGTGAATGACTTTGATATAACTTTTTCAATATTTATATCAAACGAATAAAAGAATTTTAATGAAATCTCAAAAATCTGCATTTCATGAAAGTAAATAACCTAACATGCTTACTTGTACGCTACAACTGAAAAATAGTTATAATTTCTTTGCAATACTTTAAGTAGAGATATTTTTTAAAAGCTTTATTGTTTATTGTAACATTTGGATTACAAAATTACAAACATCAGGTGGTAATATTCTACGCATAATTTATAATATCAAAATAATTGCGATGTTTATGATGATTACGACAGCAGATTGCCACAATATACGAAATCACATTTCAGGAAAACAAAATCTAAAATAAATAAATGCACGAAAAAGCGCTGAATCAACAATTTTTTAAAATGAATTTTAAGAACAGTAAACGTACCCAGTAAAAATTAAAGTTGTGTTCTCTATTACTTTAATGACAAAATCGCTCCTCATACGACTGTGGCCAAAACGAAATAATCCAAAAGATTAAAAGTTATATTGTTGCCAAACATGCCGTCTGCAGTTGCGAAACAAGATATTTATAAAGCTAATTTGTTAGCTATATTATATTCTAATATATCTACCGACAACACTAAATCTTCCTTCCCCTAAAAAATTATTGTTAAGTAAATTTAGTTCGAAATAACAAATGCTATTAAGACTACTGAAACGGTAAATGTAAAGAAAGTCTAAACGCACAATTCCATCCCCAAATCACTCTTTTAAATCAGAAACCAGTGTACCAAACTTCTTCAGATATAAATAAATATTAAGTCAGAACATCTAATAATATCAATAATATAACAAACTATCATTACGTTGAAGATTACAAATGATATTCAGACCAACAACAAGGGAAGGATCAAGATTTTTAAAAACATTTAGTTTATTACAGTTTTTTTTCCCCCTTTTTGGCTAATAGGCACCTAATAAGTCACAGTAGCCTCCTATGAGAGGACAGACAATTTACACTCATGCCTTCTCAGAGATTCGAACCCGGGCTTTTCGGTATCGCAGGCGGTTTCCCTAACCACTATACCGTCTGAGTGGTTTATCACAAAAGTTTGACAGAGGGCTGGATACGCTTAGGTTTTGCATGCTTATTGTTCTAAGAATGCGTTTGCAGTCGCCGTTGTTAGCAAGGAAAACTACAGTGCCCAATATTAATCTGTTCAAAATAAAATAAAGCTATAGTTTAAGTGCAGAACGAAAAAATAAAAGTAATAATGTTAGTCATATGAGCGTGTTCATAGCAGTTAACGATTATGAAATGATTCGCACAAGTATTGAGCAGGATAGGAAAAATATAATTTGACAGGCGCTGCGATCACCGAGGCAAGCGGCTGCACGTTGGCAGCGCTCTGTAAAAAAGTGTAAAACATTCCTTTCCCCTTAGTGATTATCAATTAAATTGCTTTGAAATAGTGTTTTTTCTACAAAACCTACACGTTTTCAAAAGATATTCGGCTCCGATGTTGATGAGAATGAAACAGCGCACAATGTGAGGATATACTACGAAAGCTTGGAATTTTAAGATAAGTACCCTTCTTTCATCTAAACTAAATCAAATTTCTATAAATAAGTGCCTTTAAATCAATAAAGTTTAATTTTTCATCATCAGTTTTAAAGCATTAAACAATACTTGAAATTGCTCATTGCTAGTGGCTTCTTTTGTGGTTACAATTCCAAAGAGACGCCAACGTTATCAGTTCACGTCTGTCACCACCTACAAAGGCACCCCACTTTATCTTGTTTTGAGTAAGGCTCCTTTAATCTCGTGAGAGGGAAAATTGGGATTCACACACACACACACAGATCGTGTTTTATTCTTGAGTGTCAAGATGTAGAAACATCTTTTTACTCGACTTCCTTCCGGGGCATCGCACCACTTCCCTCTCGGATATTCTGGTTTCTTTTTTTTTTTTTTTTTTTTTTTTTTTTTTTTTTTTTTTTTAGATTGCTTAAGTATATTTTCGCCTTTAAATAATATTATACTTCACCGATTTTTTTCTCATACTGTTCCTTGCTATCTGTTAAATGTCCATATGTAACTGATGGATTATTCTTCACTGCCTTAAATAAATTCTTAGAACTATAAGCTTATATAAATAAGAGTCAACACGTACCGATTTTACAGGCCCGCACCTCATTCTGTTATACTAGCAGTAATTAACTAGTAATAAATTATGATTGTAAAATAATTAATCTTGTAATAAATTATGATAGTTAAATTAATAAATACTACGTTTAATTTGTGTTTTTAATATATATACTCTGTAATTTACACACACACATTTTTTTTTTTTTTTTTTTTTTTTTTTTTTTTTTTTTTTTTTTTTTTTGGTGTGTGAGGTTGTGGTTTTTATATGGTTCTATGTTGTTTGTCTGCTGCTGTTTTTTGAAAAATGTATGAAAATGTTGGGAACGAAGATAGCATAAGTTGATTTAGTTAAATTAATCTATACTTTTGTTTGATGACTTTTGTTGATGTCTCAGGATGCAAGCATACGTATTACTTTGTATTCCATGCTAAATACCTTGATACGAAGCATTTTAACACTGTCAATATTTTTTTTTTTTTTTTTTCCCAGTAACCATTACCAAACACACTCACTGTTCACCATTACCAAACACACACCTGTGAGACACTATTTATTGTAAATGAAGGCAGCTTCTTCTCCTTTTAACTGCACTCATGGAAACAATCGTATTTTAGGATATTTTCTACTTCTTTTCTTTTTCTTTCTATAGGCTCTTTTTTTCCCTCTTTATTTTTGAGCAATTTATTTTAAATTTTATTTTGTCCCATCTTTAGTTCCTGGCCTTTCGAACTCGTACAAAATTTACGAAGTTCCTTTTTAGTCCTCAAATACGAAATTGTCCCTCTTTCCTTCGCATCTATGCTTGATTTTTCGCCCATCTGGGCAGAAAGACTTAGCGGGTGCAAAACAAGACATCTGTCTGTCTACTAAAAGAAGATAATTTGAAGTATCGTAATTTGGTAACTAAAAATTTTTAATGAAAATTTATTTAAATATGAATTTTTATTTATTGTTTATTCATTCAAACCTTATTTATAGTTCTAACAGCTTATACAGCAAATTAAATCCTCTCCTTTTCTCCAAGTTAATCAAAGCATATATGACCAATGATGAAACCGGCTAGGTTGCTCATGTATTGTTTTGAATTTGGTGTACATCTTGGAAGAGTTTTCGAAAGTTTGTTAGTCCGTCGAAAATTTATTAATTCTCTGTTATGCGAAGTATTAATGAAATTAAATGGATTTAATGTGACGGTATATAACTTAAAGCATAATTAGAACTGAATCGTGGCTGTGCATTATTTTGATTTCATTTGCCTAAACTCTTTTCACATCTCAATAAAAACTAGGAATATTTTTCTTGGATATTATTGTTTGGGTTGATCTTTACAATATGGTAACTGGTAGTTTGGCGACATTTTGGAGGCGATAAAGGTTACTACCTGGGACTTTGGTAATAATGTGAGCAGTACTCAGTTCCGATTACGCATTATTTTGTGTGAGGGAAATGAGAGATCATGGATGTCATGTGATATTAATGGACAATTACGGTACTTTAATCGAAAAGGGGGAAATCGGGAAAAAATCTGGAAAATTTGTATTTGGTTTATTCTGTGTTGTGTGAAACAGTGTTCGTGAATTTTGGGATCCCATGGCCGTAACTAAAGAAAGGTTTATCGGACACGTAATCAAGATTCTGAAGAAGATTAGGTAGTTAGTATTTTTTATTATTTGTGGATATTATTTTTATGCATGTTCTAAATGAACGGTGGAAGTAAAGGAATTTGGTATTTTGGGAAAATTGTTATTAGCATGATTTAGTTTAAAGTAATTAGGATTGTAAGTAATTTTTATTAATTAATGTATGTGCTCATTTATATTTAAGTAGTGTTTTTGAATTTAATTATATTTTAATTAAATGGTAGTTATTTTGTGAATTTTATGTTTGTAGAATTTGGTATACGTTTTAGTTGAAGTAAACGTGCATGGATAATTTAAATATTTGATACTCTGTATTTGTAATGCTTGCGGTATGAATTCTTGGTGACGTGTATAATGTAATAGATGATTTAGAGGTAAAAGTTTTGGATATTTTATTTATTTTATATGTGGAAATGTTCATATTTGGAAAGGGTAATACTTTTTCGCGATCAGGTAATTTCATATATGTTCTTTTTACCGGTTTAAAGATTGAAATCGTCATGTATTTTCGTGAAATTTTTCTATTTATGAGAAAAAAAGTGTACATGGATATATTGAAGAGTGTGCGCAATGCATTTTTTGTGCAATTCTGGGATGTTTTTTTAAGTAAAATAAGGCAAATTTTATTTGGAATGAACCTAAATTTTGAAATTGAAACGGAAAAATCAAAAAGTTTAAATAAAAAAAAAAGGGTGAATCTTTACATTATGGTAACTTGGCGATTTTTTGGCGAACAACCCTGCTACAGCAACCTGCTAGTTTTATTTTGGACGCCATTTTGTTTTCATGAAGTAAAGGCATTTTTTTTTTTTTTTTACTCAACATTTTTTTCCCCAATCTGCTAGCCGAAAATTACACTTATGCTAGAACTTTTATGGAACAAAAGTGCTTAATCATGACGAATATTAGGTGCGAAATTGGGAGAAAGTGCAGAATCGCCCACTGCTCCCCGCGTTTTTAAGAATGGCACATACACGGTATTATCCATGTACACGTCGACCTATTTTCACTTAAAAAAACATCCCAGAATTGCACAAAAATGGTATTGTGCATGCTCTTGACTTTATCCATGTACACTACTAAAGTCCTAGCTAGTAACCTTTATCGCATTACCAAAATGACGCCAAAGTACCTGTTACCATATTCCAAAGATTAGCCATAAAATATTTTGTGAGTTAGAATTAACGGTACAGCTTGAGTATAGGACCCCATTGGCGATTTTTGGCTTGGCGCACTTTTGGATGGTTGTTTTTCTGGTGACCCAGCAAATTATAGAATACTCCACTTCGGCAACCCTGTCGCATTCCCGCGTGAAAGTGTCATTTTCTTCGTGATGTATTCAACAAATTTCTCGAAATTTTAAGGGACATAAATTGGGCGGAGTATAGTATTTCTTTGTAAATTTACCATGATTTTGTAAACTTTACTAAATTTCCAGCATTCTTTTATTTTTAATTTAAACATGTATTCTGAACTCCTGTTTTCAGTTTTATAACTTAAAACTTCACTTTCAATATTGCTGCATAAAACATGCCTCCATGTACTTGTGTATTTTCAAACTTTTCTTTACTTTTAATTCAAACATGCATTCTTAACTCCTATTTTCATGTTTTTATTTTAAATTCTGAGCTCCTATTTTCAATTTTACAGTTTGTAATTTGTATTTTCAGTATGACTGCTAAAAATATGCCGTTATTTATTTATTTTCAGTTTCACTGTTTAAATATATATTCTAAATTGTATTTAAATTTTTTTCTTGTAAAATGTGCATTCTAACA